CATACTTCTGTAACAATTTGACAACTTCTCCATATAAGGTGATGGATAGTATTAAACACAAACAGTGTGTCCCTATTGTTCATTGTCAGGAAATATAATTGCACAGTCTCTTACTTTTCATTGATACCCATGACTTTCAGACCTGGAGTCAGGCTTCACTTAAACCTCTTCTAAGCTCTGAAGCCTGTAGCTGGTCCATTCACCTACTTGAATGTTTTCTTTTAACTTCCTTATTATTCCTGGTGCCACATGATATTTGACCATTTATCTGGATTGGGGATGCTCTTCCAGTCAGAGACCTGCTTTGTTGTAACAAACAACTTTGTTGTAGCAGAACATGCGGTTCCTCTTTAGATTCAAGGTATTTGGAAATGCAGGTCTGGAAAGCAACAAGAGGTCAGAATAGGCATAATTTTAAAGTAGAACCTTTTACTCTAACTAAAAGCTTGTTGCTTGGTTCATGTATAATTGAAAATTGTCTAGGTTCTCCTAAATATTTGAAGATACTAATGGGTTTAAATGAATCTGAATGCAGGGAAGTCAGCAAAAAGCATTTTATGCTTCACTTCTCCGTCTGATTTGGTTACTTGCCATGTTAGACTGCAACAGGTTCATGTTTGTGGCTTATGTTTTTTCTTGCACTGCAGCTGTGTTGCATATACTCCATTATGCAGAAAGGCTTTGCAGTCCTCTGCAGGAGAACCTTCTTCATATAAAAGCCTGAAACTTATTCACCTAATGGAGCTTCAACTGTAACACTGTAATAAAGTCAAATATACAGCAGTATGGTCATGTTAATTCTGGCAACTGCCTCCATTTTGGCTTTCTCAGAGCATGTCTATGCACCATAGCGCAGACTATGCTGCACCTGCTCCATCCATGTGCTGTACTGCCCAGCTGCAAGCAATTCTTGGCAGGGAGTCAAGTGTCTGCATTAGGTTTGGTGCTATGCTAAGCCATAAGTCTTGAGCAGAGTTGCATAAATTAACATAACTCTTCTCTCCTGTTTATTGCGATCATCTTGTGCATCAGGCTGTTCTTGAGGGATGGGGCTTATTTGCTCAGTGCTGTGCTAACTCACTGTATAGTGAGTGAAAACTGTGGTCTCTGGAGTGAGTGGAACCCTGTGGTTTCTGGACCAGAGTTGATATGCAGATGGTGAAGCACTCAGGCAGGTCAGAGTCATACCCGTGCACACCTGACTGCAAAGTGTCTCTTAAGCATCTCTTTTCCTTTATTCTCTCAGTCATGGAGAGGGCAAAGATCCTTACAGATACTCCTTACAAGGTTTGGAGAAAAAAGGCTAGCAGACATTACAGCTCAGTCGTCTCTGCACTTGTGCCAACAGGTATAGAATCAGATTCATAAGCCCTGATTGACAGATGCACGTTAATTTTACTATGCACACATAAAATTCCACATCCATAAATGGCTGGCTCTGAATGTGTGTAAGCTCCACCTCAGGACTGTACTGATATGTCAGTGCTCTTCCTGGGCTACAGCTCACTTGTATCTAGGTAGCCAGGAGTGCTGGTGGAGGAAATTTGTGACCGTTTCTACCTGAGCACAGAGATATGCTGATGTGGGGGTAGGTTTCTGAAAGTGAGACACAGCAGTGTTCGCTCTTCCCTCGCTTCCCCTCTTTATCTGAATGTCCACATATGATCTGACATGGAAAGAGTCTTGCACACTGAGCGGCAGTAAAACAGCATGCCTATCACCTATCTTTGACCTCTAATGATGACAGTGATTCAGACCCAGGGTGGGGAGCCACGGTTTTTAAATAGCTCACAAGAAAAGGTATGAATGTCCAGAAGGCATTCAGAGCTCCAAGCTGGATTCTTAACTTTTAGATAGCGAAGCTCTTTCCATATCAGATCCATCTTTATGGAGCAGCAGGAGGTAAAGAACGGCTGAGTCGCACAAGTCTGTCTGGGAAGATCTGCAGGCTTACAATAGATAATGATTTGCAGAATTAAGAACTGCAAAGCATTTGTAAGTATAATACCTGTGAATGTATTATTCTGATCCTGCAAAAACTTAAATGTAACTAAAAAATACTATTTAAATCAACATACTTAGTTTTAAGCATGGTGAATAGGCCTATTTGTGATCTTATATTTCAGTCTTTACAGGCAAGATATCTTTGCTAAGTGTCATTAAAAATGCAGGGATTAGCAACAAGACTTCAAAGTAACTGATAAATGGAATCAGTGTCTGGAATGAAGTGAAAAGGAGAAGTTCAATAGCAACTGAAAGCTGGATTTTCCTATCGGTGAGATTAAAGCAAGAGGTGCATGAAGCTTTTCAACTGTTAACATGGGAAATATTCCATATGCTTTGAGAAAGATTCCTTATTGTTTGTAAACAGTCTTTCAAAGAAAAATCTACATTCAACTACACAAGCAGTTTCAGAGATCTGTCATAACGCTTCTTCCTTTTGGTGAGCTCACATGCTGAACACGGTGAAGGAGCTTAAGTTTTGGAAATAAAAAATGAGTAATGGAATTTGCAGTACTACAAAACTCAAACAAGGGAAGATTAAAAGGAGTTTTGTATCAGGAGTAAGAAAATCAAACCCATACTGCTTTGTGCTCTCCTGAATGTAAGTTTATATCTGTCTTTTCTGGGACTGGATTCACATGTAGCGCTTAAGTGCTTTTCAAAACCAGGTACTAGAAGAAAAGGATCATCAGTACCAAAAATGCAGATGAAATATTTGTAGTGATCTTTAGTGTAAATTAAGAAATTCAACTGGAATATTCCATGGTCTCATCATTTGTTGTTTGCTTTAAAAACAAAGAAAGGACTCCAAAAGAATTTGGCAGATTGTTACAGAACCCTACTGATGGGGATAGTCCCGGTATATCTCACAGCCCTGCTTGCGTAAAGCTGCTGTAAGAATTTAGTAGGTTCAGGCTCCTGAGTCCTACTGTATAAAAGAAATTGAGAGGTCAAAGATGACAGTTGCTCTTTCACATCAAAATAAACCAGCTCAATACTTACAGCTAGATCTTAATTCAAACTTAACTTAGAGACTGGCAAGAATTTTCAATGTGGAGCTACAAGTCTTTAAAAACCTAGTTGTACAATCCAGAGGAGAAAAAAAAAATGGGTCTTACAAATACAGAAAAAGACGTTGTAAACAACAAAAGAGCTAGTTCAAGCTGACAGGACAAAAAGGAATGTATTCAAGCTACAGCAAGTGTATTTCACATTCAATGACAGGAAAAATATTCTAAATTAAACAGAAAAAATGGGAGAATGGACAAACAAAAATCTTCAAAAAAAGAAAATTCTGAAACTTGACTATTAAATTCCAATATTATTAATCACTACTTCTAATCCTACCAACAGTGTAAAGTGAGTGGCCTCATGACCACTCAACATCTCGTCTAGTTTAGGACTGGGCTAGCACAGTATTAGCACTATATAATATCCATCTTTTCCTTTGGAAATGATATTCATAAAGACAAAAGCAGAACTGTAAATACTGTGCATACTACTTATTATCGCCAGTCACAAAATACCACAGTCTGTAAACAAGGCACTCCAAAGGTATGCAACTCTCCTGCTCATCTAGGGGGAAGATATACTGCAAAGTCACCATCTTTCTCAAGGACACAAAAAGTCTTGGAGAAACTCTTGCCCTTTTCATAAACAAACAATGACTCTGGATGTAACTTGTATTCATCAGTTATATATTTTTTACCCCCAAAAAAGGCATACGCTTTACTTTAAATAGGCCTGAAGTGTCTGCTGTTTTTCAGATTATGTATGTATTTGGTTTGGGGAATTTCATGTGCTGGGGAGAACAGCTCTTCTGTCTTGTCCAGCATGGCTCAGCCCTAACTTTCTGCATTACTATCTTCCCTGCTTGTCGCTACTGACCAGAACTCAGAATGTCTCATGGAGCAATCGGCATTTCCTTCAATGTGCATATTAATTACTTCTAGGCAGACGTAGTATTCCTCAGAAACAGTCAGCCATGCCTACTTGTTATACTTAGCTATAGTGTAACCCTTGTCTGTAAATTGCAGGGGGGACAGGGCTAGTATATTTCATAAATAGCAAGTACTATAAAATATTTCATAAAGTCAAATAATTTCCTGGTTATAATTAGGAATTGTGAATGCAAGTTGCATGTGCTGAGCATTTAAGCTTACCTACTTTAGCTACTCTGGAATATAAATCAGGAGAAAAGTCAGCCAGAACTTTTTCACAAACGTGTATACTATGCTTTGTGGGTTTTTTTAAGAAAGCAGGAGACCTTATTTGTGCATGAAAATAAAGTATCACAGATACCCCACTGCCGTAACTCCAGTCTACAGAAGGTTTTTTACAACAGTTTTCTGAAATATTGCTGTGTCTTGCTAAGCTTGACTGCATAGCAGAAACCATGGGGATTACCCAAATGTAATGCATACAGAACACTGTGCTGCCGTGGCACAACTGTGTATACTGTAACTCTGTGTGTCAGTCATTCACTCCAGAAACATTAAACGTAAAAAAAGGGATTGGAAAAAGTAGCAACCTAACACTTTCAAAACCCAAATAGCATTAATGGGAGACTTCCAGATTGAAAGTGATGCTTCTGTTTGGACATACTTACCTGGCATAATTATGAGACTGAATAAATGAACAGGACTTTACTTGTCCTTTTTGCATGCCAGTAGCTTTACAAATAGTCAGTTTAAAAGATCGTTGCCATGGGCATTGCATAAATAATTTTATATACATAAGTATATATGTATATATATTATCTATGTGTGTGTGTACAAACGCATGTTAAACAAAAGCCCTAAGAAGATTTAAAAAACCCATAGTGTACTTCATAACTTATTTTCTAGGATAAACTATATTTTTAATTAATCACTTCAGAAATCGAAGCTGTCAGTGACCTTTTAAAATGACTATACATATACAGCATACTGTTAGATGACTATAGATTTTTTTTTCCCCCTCCACTGCAAGCAAAGTTTAGAGCATTAGTTTTCATACTGAGAGATAATTATTAAGCTTCAATTTTGTTTCTTAAAAGTTTATAATTAGGCCTTTTGATTGTGAGCTTTTTTTTAGTTGTTAAGTCCAAGTAACCAAGCAACTATGTGCAGAAATTAACCTTTTTATTGTATTATATACTGTAGTAGTAAAGTTTGTTTGAAGTGCATGAATAAAAAGTCAGTGAAATTACAGGAGGAACAATCTAATATAGCAATAATAGGTGCATTCACTGTGCATCTGAGAGGAGGAAGGGGGAAAAAAGAAGAGTTTTCACTCATTTTGGCCTAAAACGTGTTCAGGTTTCCAGGATTCTGACATCAGAACCCAGATAACACTGGTTAGAACCATAGGGCTTTACAATAAAAGCTAAAATATTGACCATATGATGGCAAAAAGTCTTTATTTTGTGGTTAACTTATTCTCCTCTAGCTACTTTCTGATGAAGTTGGTGGTGCTGTGGAGGATGATCTCCTTCTTCTTGACAAAGATCGTGATCGTTCAGCACTGTAGGCAACATGCTTATCATAGTTTTGTATCTGAGCCTCGAGGAAATCCCTCTGTTGCTGGCTGATTGTCTGGCTAATCAGTCCAGGGAGAGCTTGAATGCTACCAATTAAAGTTTCCAGTTTAGTTTCCAGAGTAACAATTCTCTTCTCAAAATCTTCGCTTCTTTCATTTAAGTCAGAAATCATGTCATACATGATGTTTTGAGTCTGAAAGCAGAAGGATGTAAACAAAGGTTTAGAGAGACCTTATAAGTATTGTAACAAGCAGCATAACTTTACAAGGGTTTGCAAATGCTTTTGCACTTCACAAAAGAAAAAAAAAGGATATGAATATTATAACAATATCTAGTCTTGTAGATTCAGAATAAACTTTCTACTAAGTTTGTTGTGCAGAAATGTAATATATTTTGAGTAGCACTTTAGATGTCAAAGTCAAAATGAATTAGACAAAAGACCAGAACTTTTTTGGAAGTTCAGGTATTTAGAAATGCACCATGCTAAGCTTTGTGACCAGTCAGTTGTGTAAGACACCAGGAGACCGAAGGCTCCAAAGCTGGGATCCATCTTTGACTCTTCTGTATTTTCTCTGGTTTTAAACACCCTCATTCTTATAAGCAGAACACAAATGTTGTCCATTTGCTTTCTTCTTAAACTGACCGAGTTTTCTTGAACTGTCTATAGTAGGAGTAGTTGGGTGGATTGGTTTTGAAATGTAGCGCAAGGAGTAAAAGCTCAATTGTATGCTTCTCTGCTTCTGCGTTCCCCAATCTATCTGCCCTCTACAAAACAGTGTTTGGTTACAGTAAGTACATAGGGTATACTTTAAAATGCCATAGTGGTCAGTAAAAATGTAATCTGAAATGTGTTATTTCATAGAGACTTGGAACTGGTTAAAAAATAATGACTGAATTTCTCCCTCTGATAGACTTCAGATTAGACTTAAACTAGAGCCAAAACTGGATGTACTTCAGTAGAAAAACTGGTTGAAGTTTATAAACCATCCAAAGGGAATGAAAATTAATTGAATGACTGACTGCCTGAAGTGTAAACCACTTCAGTATCACATGAGTGTCGATAACCCATTTCTCTGCCCCCTGTTTCAAGATGCTAGCATAACCCTTGAAAGCAAAGCAATCTACATTACATAGTACCTGAAAAGTCCTTATCAGTTGCCAGAAGCATTAGACTGAAATGTATTTTCAGCAACTGAAGTTGTCAGGTGGTTCTCTAAAGCAAAAGGGGAATGTACACTGAGGAGTTTAATCTTTGCTTTGATGCACTTTAAATTGAAGAAGGTTTTGAGGTACATAAAGAGGTGTACAATAAACCCTTAGGAAAAGCCCATTAATGCTTCTAATGTAGCCTCAAATTAAGATCAAAGTAATTGTTAAATACTGAGTTCTAATGTGAAACCTGGAGTGCTATCAGCTCAGCCCTCTAACTCTCTAGTTATTATTTTGTATTAATAAAAAATCCCAGCAACAATAGACAAGCAATTTGCAACTGAAAAGCCTCTTTTACCTCATCTCAAATTACTTAAAAAAAGATTAAAAAACCCTTATGATATATCCGCAAAGTAGGCAGCTATTATTCATTATAAAAACTGCAACAAATGCAGACGTAAATTTACTTGTCCAAAGTCACTGCTGCATAAGACAACAGGAATAGAAAGCCAGAACCTCTAATTCCAGTCTGCGTGAGAGCCTGTGTACTATGGTCCCTCATGGCACAGTCACTATCACCGGACAGGAAATCTCTTTACTACACCGCACTACACAACTACGGCCCACTCACAGTTCAGCATTTACCATGAACACTGTAGTCACAGGAGCTCTCAGGATCAGCCTCTCAATTGTGAAATCTTTTTCAAATGTACAAAAAAAACCCATGGTGCATTCAAACTTTGGTCAGAGCCATAAACAAAACGTTTCATTCAGTAGGTGTTACCACAAAACACACACATATTTTCATTTGCTACAAATAACAAACTTGTTAACAGTATTTGCATGCATAATGCATAACATTTTCACTTACAAACTCTTAATTTTGAAAGGACGAATGTTAAAGCAAGAGTAATTGCCTACTAACCTTTGCCAGGTCCACCAAAGTGTTGGCTTGATCATTCAGTTTCCTTTGTTCCATCTTTACACTTCTTAATCTAAAAAGTGGAATTTTAAGTCAGATTTGTTTGTGTATGTGGTCATATTAGGATTTCTGAAAAGCATGCACAAAACTTACAAGAGCAAGTAACTGCATGGACAATGTCTTGAGTACTTTGTGTAAAGTCAGAATTGGTCATGTGCCTGCTACAATGAGAAGCATGCTTCTTCAACACCGCAAAAAGGAAAGAGCAAGGAAATGTGATGTCCTTGAGAATACCATTTGCCATGGTCAAAGTTGAATTCAAAAAGGGAGATAACAATTTATCCAGACTATATGAAAGAAAGCCAAAACATTCCTCAAAGCCTCAGTATCGTGACAAGTAGATATAGGAAGAAACATAGAACAACTGTTTTTTGTCATTAATGTTGTAGCAATCAAGAATCTTCCCATGCCTACATGACTAGATACAGGTATTAGCCCTGTTCTGTCGGAAATGGATTGGGTTAGCAGGTGTTTGAACCTGATGGAAATACAGTGATAAGTGAGTTTCTCATTACTTTAAACAGAACTTCCATCTGACCAGCAGCTAAATAACCAACATACTTGCCAATACATTTGATTTTCTTACATAATTTGTGAATCTAAATATGATTACATTTTAAACTTACATTAAACATTCCTTTTCAATGCACTATTTAAACTACAGCATTGAAAAACTATGAAAGAAGCAGCAAGGGTATATTTTTCTCTTTGATGCCTACCTATCTGCATTATTATTAGTTATGCACATTCTTTAGATATATACATGACCTTTCTTATGTGTTCCCTGAAACAAAGTCCATGTTTTTCAGATTAACTGCTAGAGGAGTGGTTTGTAGATGTGATTTTCACAAATAAGCAATTTCTCCCTTAAGTACAAGTCATTTGTTCAACATTTCCCAACAGAGAATTACTTTGACTTTCAATGACTTTTCTGGTGGCTGTTCTAAGCAGCAAACAGCATTTTTCAAAAACAACATATCAATTTATAAACATTGTGTGATAAGATACCATGCAGTCTACTTGTATGTCAAGGGCCAACCAAGCTAACCATTTGGTTAGCTGTCAAATGAAAATAAGTTTGGCAGCATTTTGTGGCAGGTGGGCTGCTAATGCATACTCTGCCTATTTCTCAGTGATGGTGTTACTTAGAAAGCTAGTTTAAAGAAAGCCTTCTTGGAGATATTCCAAAATCAGGAAGTTTCTGTTCATATCATTAGTTACCAAGTATTTCCTTTCATATCTAGGTTAACTGCCATGAGAAAATAAATTGTGAAAGGTGAAATGCCTTTTAAAACACAGGGAAATAGCTCTGTTAAGGTAGAAATCAATCGTTCACATAAAATTGACATTCCAGTGGCTTGTTACTGGAATGTCATACGCTCTTCTTCCCTTGGACGCTTCCTTCAGAGCACAAAATAAATGCAGATTGTAGGAATGGTGCTTTCAGAGGCTATGAGGTGGAGCTATTCTAAAGAAAAAAATACGAAGGAGTCTCCAAGGTATGGAGTCATATCATTACAGTCTCAGAACAGAATAATTACTTAAAGGTAAGCTGTAATGAAATGGTGAATGGTAGCCCTAGTGTTTTGGTGAGCATCTCTCAAATAATTTTCAGAACATGTGTTTTCTGCTTTTCTTAAGATTCATTGACTCATCTGTTTGCCAGTTCATATTTTAATTTTAAAATTCCAAGAAATCCATTGTTATTGCAGCAATACAAGTACCAGCTGACACCAACATGATAATTCCTCATGGTAACCAACCCAATACCTATCACAGACCGTAAAAATGTATCTCTAGGTAATGGCAAGTCTTTAGCTGCAGCAGCCGGATTTAAAGAAAACTGTCAGACTTTCGTTCCTAAATTCATTAAGAGAAAATATGAAACATCTTGATTTTATGAACTTCACTTATCACAGCAAAAGATCATGATTCTGGATCGCGTTTCCATGGCAGCAATCAGACCACTGAAGTTCACAAATAAAGACTCTATTTTTTGCATGCAGACAGTGGTAAATTCTGCAGATTTAGGAAGGAACAGCTTATACAACTTACTTCCGAGCTCTATTTTCATTTTGTTGAAATAAAAAGACAAAACAAAAGAAAACAAACTGTAAAATATACTAAAACAACCAAATGAGCACAGTGGGCTCGATTCAGCAGGTGGGAAGTCCTAGGGAGTTGCTACTTCTTTCAGCTAGTAACTGCCTGAGGTGGAGTCTAACTCACTTGCATTCATTGTGAAGGAACCTGCAATAGCTTCAAAACCTTCCAATTCACTATCATCTGATGATACTTAAAATGCCTTTTAATAGTATCATCTAGAGTGATGATTTCATCTTCATCTTATTTAGTGTGCATTAGAAGCAAAAAAGACCCAGACCAGCTGAAGGCCATTTTAGAGCTGTGACTGTGAGTTTGAGACTGTTATCATGATCTGCTTTGGTTTCTTGTATAAAACTGGCCCTGAAACTCCACTCCCTTTTTTTCTGTCTCCAGTGAAGTGGTTGGAAAGGTGAAGGAGGGGAACCAATAAAAAACTAAGAATCCAGAAAGACAGAAAAGAGACACATACTGCCATGAGTCACTTGAGAAAAGTTTAAAGATGCAAAGGGACCAAAAGTAATTTGCACCCATCTACTCTGCTACAGCTGGAAGAAAGCAAACTGCTAGAGCAATGTTTTCATCCATGGCGGATTCTTCAGCATATTGAGTTTTGGGAATGGGATGCAAAGCACTAAATGACAGAGGGAAATGCATTATTAACATAGCTGTTCAAAGTTTGGCTGGCACAGCTAGGAAAAAATTACTGCTGCCACCTTCTTCACCCCACCTGATTAATGAATTTTTAAGGCAGGTGCAGAACAACACTTTACATCAAGCTCTTCTGGGCTTGAATGATATATAAAGCTGCAGATCGAGCCTGCTGTGCTTTTTAGATTCTTCTCTGAAAATGTGTGTGCACACACACACACACAGAGACACACACACACACACACAGACAAAATAAATAGCAAAGTTAAAATGTTAAGGAATAACCTTTGCAATCAAGGATTCATGTCCAGCAAAGGATGCACAGGATATGCCATCCTCTATCCCAGAACCCCTGCCATTCCTCTCCGCCTCCCAATCCTTTAAGCTAAGCAGGACGACCAAACTGGGAAAATACACTTTTTATATCCACATAAAAATGCCTTGACTTTCGTCATCTTTTTATTCCTTTAAGTGTTTCTGCAATAGCACAGTGACATTTAATCCTGCAAGTTTGCTAAATATATTATAGTAATAGAGGTCTATAGAATACTTCATACCTTAAGCTTATCTACCCATTGCTTTAAAACATTGCTATGAAACACAGAAACAATGACTGTTAGCTTACATTTACTAATAGGAAATATAATAATCTGGCCTTTCTTTCCTGTCTCTCCTGCAAGATGACACATAGGTGTTCTTTTCATGATGGGTGCTTCCCTCACATCTCCTCACAGGCTGGCTCAGACACAGACCCACACTCAAAAGTTACCAAAACATGAGTTTAAAATTAAACTTACTTAATTTATCTACATCTCCCCAGTATCTCATGGAAACTGCTTTCACAGATTGTACAAATGGTGGCCTCGGGCTGGATGGGGACATTGAATAGAGCAGACAAATAGTGGCATGGGTCCTGATCATTCCTCAGGAAGAATCCTGGGGACAAAAGTCTCTTTTTTTCTCCCATGTAGTCCAAGGAAAAGTAACTGAATAATTGTCCAGTTCTACTGATTTTGAGGTGCTTTGTGACAAATACATATTATGAATTTTAGATAGATACTTATAGTCTGGCAATACCATAATTCAGCTTAATCCTACTACTGGTTACAGTTCTCAGGCTTGTTTTCAACCCCTTAGAATTTCAGTAGCGGAGAAGAACTCATCTAAATCATGCCAGAGGTGCTTAAAGGTCACATAATGACTGTTGGCATATACTCCCAATTTTCTAGAACAGATGTCAGGGGTCATAGCTGACATACCAACATTTGATTTTATGCACTGAGAATATATGGTGGAGAGAGGTAATTAATTGCTGTTGGGCTGTACAGCGACGCGTGATGCATATTCTTTTCATTAAACACTACTCATAGGCTCTCTTCTATCACATCATTCTGATTTTAAATTATTAAAACATCTACTACAAATGAAACTTTTTTCATTTTCTTCTGTCTATTGTAGCTTGTATCTTAGAACCTGTAAGCAAATACATACCAACAAAGGGTAGCCTCAGCGGCAAAAGACAAAAAAAGTCTTAGATAATTCAAGAAGCATAGGAAACTTCTAAAAAAAATATAAACAAGTTTGATTTACCCCATATTGGACATACACAGCCAGCATACTTTTTTATTTTTTTGTAAACAGGTAATATGGTAAAACATTATCTTTGTATTACTCCAAGAGAAAAATTGACCTCAAGAGCAATGTTCTTTGAAGGGGGAGAAAGAGAGTGGTGGGGGAGAGAGGGGAGGGGCAGAACGGGACACAGGGACTAAGAGTGACTATAAGGGAGAGGGAAATTAAGAGAGAAAACACCTGGAGGGGAAAACCAAAGCAAAATAGTACTTACTGATGAATAGCTTGCAAGAATTTGCGTTGATGTTTCCTTACTTTCGCATGGTCTATCTTTTTAACCAGCTTTGTGTTTTTGTAAATTAACCATGTTTCCCTGAGTACATTGGCCGCTGCATTTTTCACCTGTTTAATAAAACAAAAACACCAGGCTGACAAAAGTAGCATTATGTCATGCTTTATCTCTTCTGGTATAAACTCTTTCTAAAGCACTTAAGACCCTGCCTAACTGTAGGAAGTGGGTACATCAAGAAGCTGCAGCACTGAGGGCAGAAAGCAATAACTGGACCAAGGGGACTGCTGAGCAATTTCCATGGTGCTTATAAAAATGATATTGGGACCAGCTCTCTTTGCATCGGGGAATAATTTGTCCCTCTTTAAAGAGTTAGCACCGTTTGGTGTTTATGGCAATATAAATTACAGTGAGGAAATACTAATGCATTATCTGTATGATAATTAACTAAATGTTTTTAATAGGATCATAAAATTTTTCTTTTTCTTGTTCTATGGTTAGTACCTCTTAATTCTCTTAGCAATTTAACAGTCTTTTAAATTTCTAGAGCTGTTGGAACATATTTTTTTTCTTTTTTTGTTTACATTTTTATTCTTGTTTCTTTTTTACCATTCTCTGAGGAAATGAAAAAAATTCTTATCAGTTAATGTGGGCAGTGTTCTGTTTCATAAGTGCTTTGAATTTGTTTTTAAATGAGGCTTTCCATAAAATGTTAAAGATAAGAGTACCTACAGTTCCTTCTTAGGCCCTCCAAAATTTTAAAGAATGCTTGAAAACAACAGACAAAGGATTGCAATGCAATGTTGATTAATGACAGAATGACTAGGTTATTTGCAAATGAAAACTGTCCTTGTTAATCGTTATTTTCTCTCCCTCCAACTTTACACCATGTCAGTCACTGGAATGCCATGCAGTAGCACTTCTCAGCAAGAGGAAACCACCTTGTACCTCTAGAAGTGTTGGAGAACCTTGGTCCTGACTTCAGTGGAAGCACAATCACATTTTAGAGATCTCACAATTGCTACCTAGTCCTTGCATTTCCACAAGGCATGGCTATCTTCAGGCTGTGAAGAAACCTCTCTAGTATCTGTGTAAACAATTTGTGACCTGATGTGCATCTCAGATTTGTTTTCTTGGTTTGCTTTTCATGTGCTTTTTGTTTCATGAGTTTGAAGCTACCGAAGCACCACATGGATACCGTATTAGGCTGATATTTAGATTTATATGAACGATAGCTGAATAAAATAAACTTTAAAAGCACAAATGAACACCAGATTCAAAATCTGGCCAATCTTTACAAAACCTTTTTCCCTCCTGAAACACATTTTGAGTTTAGCTGTCGGATTACACTAGAAAAGTGCCTGTGTTAGGAAGGAACAAATTGTTGTCTGTGGTCTAGTATCAACAAGACCTCAACTGACTATAACAGGAGTGTAAATCAATGAGCACAGATAGACACCTCAAGTCAGACACCCTTTATACCTGTATAGGAACTGCCTTCCCATTCATCCTTGGTCTTTCCCCACAGTGACTGCTTAGCAGAGATAGAGGATGTTACTGGTGAACAGTACAGAAATGAGGGAGCCAGCACAACCAGAGCGGTGCGCTGATGTGTCCTGGAAACACAGTGTGCAGAGATGTGACATGGCTCTCCGCAGCAGAGGACCTGTGGCAGCGCAGCACTGCACCGTTGCACGGAGCTGTGCTGAGTCAGCAAACCTCCCTCCCGCCTGGAGCAGAGCCGTGGTTTCCAGCTCAGGCGTTGACATCCCTCTCCACCCACCAGCACGGAGAAGCTCTGCTGAGTTCCTGTTGTGAGTGTAAAGGACCTTCCTCTCTGTATTGGCTCTTCTCAATAACAAAGACTAAACAAGTTGAGAGGACTGTGTAGCTCCTACTTATTTTCTTGTTCCCTCAACGCTGACTTGTTTTATTTCAATACGAGATTCCTATTGCCTTGTTTGCTGCAATCTTTCATTTTTCAAGATTTTATTGTAATTTAAAGTCTATTTCATAAAGAAAATTATAAATATTTTTTATGAATTCTAATGATTTATAGAGGGTTTTTTAAAATACACCACTTGGATACACTATTAAACTGATATTTAGATTTATATGAAGGATAGCTGAATAGAATAAACCTTAAAATTCTATATATTCTTCTCATATTCTGCATGAAAATTTGTCAGTTTAATATATTAGTCTCTAGTTTCACAGCTTTTAACTGTTGGTTACATCAATTATCTTCCAGCTGCAAGGACCCCTCTATAGAAGAATATTCAAATCCTCAAAATCTTCTGAGAACCTACTGTTGCCCTCAACTTAAAAGAGAAGATCAGGGCATTCAATTCCTCCACATAACACCTTGCAAAATCACACCCATGAAAAAGTTCAATAAGAGAATGGAGCATGAAATAATTTAAAACAAATGCAGAAATAAATTTAACACACATTTCCTTTTCAGTTGTGAATATAAAGTGTGACTTACTCTTTTAGTTAGCTGGGTGTCCATCATGAAATTATGCACATGTTTTTCAGCTTTGGTAAGTTCTAACTTCCTTGCAACCACAGCTACCACCAGTGCAGTGCACCCAGCACCCTGAAAACAATAAAACAAACCCCCAAGATGTTACTACTGCATTTTGCAGAGTTTTAGTGGAAATTTTTCCTTTGCTGTAGAAGTATGGCAGGCATCAGGTGATTCATCCCTGGTAAATATATTGAACATGCTACAGCTATTTCAGTTCAGAGTAATAGGAAAAGTCAGTAATTACAGGCTGGTAAACTGTCAAGGCATCAAAATAATTAGTGAGCAGCATCATTTAAAAGTTCTGCTTTTTTTCCTGCAGGGGTTGAAAATTTGAACACATCCCATTTCTAGTGCAGAAACAAAGGGGGTGATCAAAACAACTTTTAAAGCCCAGAATATCAGTAAATAAATGCAGAATACCCTGTTCTTAACAATTGTCTCAACGTTACAGCAATTGCTAAAGAGGAAATAAGATTAGATTAGTATTTAGCATACAAAAAAAGAAAAGTTTGTGAGGATTTTCTGTAGGGCCTAAAAATAATAATAAATTTAGTATTTAATCACTTTAGTATACTTCCCTGTTGATCTATAAGTCCTTCAACAATCTTTTCCTGTAGTATTTTCATATATATATATATTTCCATCACGCAGCACGTGCGGGACAATCAGGGGATCAGGCCCAGTCTGCATGGGCTCATGAAGGGCAGGTCCTGCTTGACCAACCTGATCTCCTTCTATGACAAGATGACCCATTTGGTAGATGAGGGGAAGGCTGTGCATGTTGTCTACCTGGACTTTAGTAAAGCCTTTGACACTGTCTCCTACAGATTATCCTGGAGAAACTGACTGCTCATCATTTAGGTAAGTGCACTCTTCGCTGGGTAAAAAACTGGCTGAATGGCCGAGCCCAGAGAGTGGTGGTGAATGGAGTCAAATCCAGTTGGCAACAGGTCATGAATGGTGTTCCCCAGGGCTCAGTATTGGGATCGGTTATGTTCAATGTCTTTATCAATGATCTTGATGAGAGGATTGAGTGCACTCTCAGTAAGTTTGCAGACGACACCAAGTTGGGCAGGAGTGTTGGGCAAGACACTGAGGTGCTGGAGAGTGTCCAAAGAAGGGCGAAGAAGCTGTTGAAGGGTCTGGAGAAGAAGTCTTAGGAGGAGTGGCTG